TTCTTGAAGAATTTTTTAAAGTATGTGTCAAAGAAAGATTCTATGAATGATTTTCAGCTGAAATATTTCAGTACAAAACAGAACAGGAACACTAGTTAGTCGTGTTTTCATAGATACACATTTTTAGAAAGTGTTTTCTCAATTAAAATATTATAATGTACAGTGAAGAGTCATTTGGAGGCCTTAACAAACTTCAAATTTATTAACTATTATGTTGGAGATCCATAGACCTCACTCAGACTGAATGATTCAGTAGAAGGACTGATGACCCAGAGAAAGATGTTATACTCCTGATATGATTTATTGAAGTGCAAGGATAAAATCAGCAAAGAGAAAAGGCACATGGGATAACATCTAGAAGAAACAAGGCCCCAGCTTCCATGTGTTCTTTTCCACTGAGGACATATGGACATGCTTAATTTTCCAGCACATGCAAAAAGTTTCTGACCAAGGAAGTTCACATGAGTCTCAATGTCCAAGATTTTTGGCAGGAAGGTCAGTCATGTAGCATGCAGCATCTGTGTGACTGACTTTAGCTACTCAGACCCCAATACTTTTTCCCACATCCTCCCCAGCAAACAAGGTGTTCAAAACCTAAATATATTGTTAATATAAGCTAATTAAACTGATACAGTCTCAGGCATACAACAATATAGATATTGACTTTAAATCACCATTAGTGTAAACTACCTGATCCAACTGGCACTGTGTGGCCCAAGACTTCCAGCATATAAAAGCACTCTTATGAGGCAGAATATTCGAGGGCTTGGAGTTGTCTTCCAGGAGCCAGAAGTCGGTCTTGAGACAGGTCTATTTTGAGCAACTGAGGTTGGCTGAGTCAACTTTTGCTGTGAAACTATAAAAAGCAGCTTTGATGGATTGCAACTAAATTCATGAGAACTGTTATAAATGGGGTCATATTAAAATATATATTCTTCAGATAAATATTCATAACATTTCACTAGAGAGAAACATGGCTAAGAAATTGATTAATGTGTGTATCAAATAATACTCCTTGTAAAAATATTCTGAGATATGAAAATGTTTGAAAAGCTTTTGACTAAACTTTTAGCTTCACCAATGTAATTAAACTGATTGACCTATAAATTGCAAAAATCACATAATTTTTGATATAGTACTTTATACCAAGCTTTGAATTGGGACAAAACAAACCGGCCCTCAAAGATGGGAATCTAGATTGGTTATCTGACCTAACTGGGCTTGAAAGCAGTAAAAACAACAAAATTTGTGCCTGTGGAATATGATACACTAGGAAGTCCATGACATATGCTGACAAAAGGGTTATTTAAAATGTTGCCTGAGATAAAGTCTTATTGAAAGCAAGACTTCGGGAGATCAATAGCTTCTGCAGTTGATTCCTATGGTGGAACCTTAGACTACAAAGATTCTGGGGTTGACTGACTATGCTGGGAAGTTTACAGAAAGAAAATTAGTTTAGGGCATCATTAGAAAACACGTGAGCTTCTCCAATGGTTGTAAGAGAATCTCATCACTTTTAGCCACATACTACATATTTTGAATAGTACCAATCCTAATTCATGGTTGTAGAGGTACAATACAAGCTGAATTCATGGATTCATAAGACCACTTATGTGAGAGTTGGGGCATTGTTTGACCCTGAGAATTGGGATAAAAGCATTCAGGTGGAATTTGGTGAATCTGAGGACCATCAGTCCTGAAATTCCATATCTCCTTTCCTAGTAGGAGCAACTTTTCTTCCTACAACTGAAGTAAAAGCAATTCTCTGCTTGAAAACATGAAATTATCTTATCTGAGTTAAGGGAGTGTGGGTTGTCCTTATGACCCATCCCACCACCCCTTATTGCTGTCACACTCCTAACTAGAATCAAATCTCAGCTTTCCCAGGATGACTTACCTGACATCTGCCCTGGGAGATAATATCTTCAACATCCAAAATTTTCCTGCCACTTCAGTGACGTCTCTAGGGACCAGTTAGTTCAGAGTATACAAGGCTACCTCTTCTAACATAGAGGAAACATTTCTTTGTTTTCACTACTAAGAAAGAAACATAATCTTTTGTGCCTGTGGTTTTTTAAAGATGGAAGTATGCTATTGTAACATAATAGTCCCACTCAGAGATGTCCCTGAAAAACTGAGCAAACAGAAAATCCTCCCAGTGAGCAGAACATTGAGCAGTATAATTTGAGTGTCTGTGTTTCCTAGATACCATGCTGCTATTGCCCAGTAATGACTAGGAGGGCCAGATACATGGTGTCTCTGAATAGGCAGAGTTACCCTTTGCAAATGTTCACCAAAGAAATCCATTGCAGAGGAAGCTCTCAGTAATGAGGTACATAGATAACCATCCTGTGAATATGAGCCAGCCCCTTTTCCCAGACATTGTATGTCTTGTTCAATGAGCTCATGTTCAGTTGCATCAAGCATGGAGTTTGCACAAGAGCTGAATGCATAGATTTATCTTCACTGGAGGTGATCTGGCTATTGTACTGCTAAGTGCCTCACTTGCCAACCAGGAAGAGTCAACACAATCAAGGAAATTACTCCATTCCTGATGAAGTCAACCAGCTACCTGGAGGAAAGTTGATTACATCATCTGCTTTTATTATGGAGTGGGCAATAATTTCTTCTCACTGAAACATATATTTTTTTGAATATGAATTCTTTTACCACCATATTTCTGCCAAAATAACTATAGTTGGATCTCACAAATGCCTTATATACCATTATGATCATCTTATTTATTACATTGTTTTTAATGAAGACATTTTATAGCAAAAGATATGCATTCAGAGAGTTCGTGTCTATGGAATTCACTGATCTTATTATGTATCTCAATAATGAGAAGCTCTCGGCCTTGTAGATAATTACAATGTCCTACTGAAGACTCAGATAAGCCTCCAGCTAGGAGACAACCATCAAAAAGTTTGGGGTGCTGCCCTATAAGGTGAAGTGTGTGCTTTATAATAATGTATATATGTTATCTGGATTGAGAAGTAGAAGAGAAAGGGAATAGGGAAGAAGGAGGTTATAAATATGAACTATGTCTCATAACCACTTAGAGAAATAAATGTAGCATTTACAGAAACCACTTACTGAAACCACTTAGAGAAATACCGTAGCGTTTTTTTTCTTAATTTTTTTTTTAGGTATACATGGACAAAGTGTGCATTTGTGTGTGTATTCCAACTTTTAATTTCTTATTACTTCTCTTTCTATACTATTTTATAAAAGAGTATCATGTGCTATAGCTTTACAATTTCATATCTCGGTTTTACAGGATATTCCTGAATTAGTTGGGGAATTAATCCCCCAATCCCAGAGCTGGACATGGTTACTGATGGATATTTTTGCCCTGGATAATTCTCTCTTGGCCACATCTAAAATGATGGTTGTTAAAAAACGAATAAATAAAATAAAGTGAGAATTGAAAACATTGTTCTCTTGGATGCAGCAAAGTATTTATATATTGTTTCCTGCCACTCTTGGTCTGTTTAATTGTTGTGGTTTTAAGTTGGATTGATGGCATTTTGTAATATAATTCCCTCAGAAATTTAGTTAGGCCTATTCTATGCTTGCTTAGTTATTTATTTATATCTTTTATACCTTTCTATACCACTTACACCTTTGCAATTTAGTTTTTATGTTAAAAAATCCATTCATGTTTGTGATTAAAGTAGAAGGATTAACATTGCCTTGATATGGATATTATAACTGACTAGACTATGTACCTCCCTTTTTTAGGGAAAGAGTGAGATGGTCTTTGTAAGGATAATTGAAACACGTTAGGAAGATGCATGATGATGTTGTTGCTATTAATTTCATATGGAAATTTAAGTATGGGGCAAAGGGTGAAAATATATCCTGAGTGGTCTAAAATGTGAACTGCGCAAGTTGTTTGTCTGTTGTCCATAAACGCCATTGCTCCCCTTCTGGACTCATTCCTGTTTGCTAAGAGACTGGCAGCCTGTAAACTACATTTCCCAGATTTCCTTGCCAGTTGGCTTCACCTAGGTGTTACCAGTGAAAAGCTGTAGCAGGTTTGAAAAAGAAACAAAGGGAAGCCTATTTTTCATGTTTGTTTTTTGTTTTCTGGTCCCTGTTTCTGGTGGTATTTGTAACAGCAACAGTGATGCTGGGGTCGAAAAGGCTCCTTTAGTCAGTCACCAACGCAGCTGCGTCAGCAGCAACAGTGGATGGTTCAGGAGCACAGTGCTCATGGGCTCTGTCTCTGAGCAGCAGAAGCAGCAGTGGACCCCGCAGCTGTCCATGCTCCAGCAACTTGGGTAGCATTAGATGTCATGAGTTTTCATTAACAACTATTTCCTCTTTCCAGTCCAACAAATGTATTACTTTGTAACCAACCTCTCTGTCAATTTCCTTACAAACACACACACACACACACACACACACACATTTGGTATGGTTATTTTTTTCCCAGCTGGATGCTGACCGAACATTATTTAATGTTCAAGAACATGACAAACAATACTCTGTATTGTTCAAGGATGTATATATTGTCAAAAATGTGTTAAGAAGTCTAGGAAATGGTGAACTTCAAGGACAGGACATGGGTTTGGGGTGTACATGTTGGGCTTCAGCTATTTTTTAAACCATTTTGATAACATTTTATTTTCTGTTCTGGATGGTAGATATTGGATTGTTATTTATTCATTTTTACTCATCTAACTGAATTATAATCAAAATAAATGGTAGTAATGAGATGATAAAAAGATCATACTCTTCAGTAAATTACTCATGAATATAGTTTTTAAAAATAGCTTTTTACAATATTCCATTAGCAACTATTTCATATAGGTTAAGGCCTATTAGTGTTTTTAAAAAAGGGAATCATTATATGCTCATAAATCTTAAACATTCTGAACAATGTGAAATAAAGTTAAATCCCTGTAAATCAAGTTTTGCTTTGCAATGATTATCATGGTGATATATTTTGTTAAAATGCATGTTGTTGCTTACTTTTTTCTTTTCTATTTTAGGTATTGTGTTTGGTCTCATATCTCTGAACATCAGCACGCTTGAGAGTGGCAACCGTCTGAGAGCCGCTGAGAGCATGTTGTTGTCCTCAACTTATGATATTTCATCCTGCCTGGTAGTCCTCCTTATATCATACTATGGAGGGAAAGGAAACATACTAAAGTGGATTACATTTTCCTCCTTTTTAATAGGATTTGGATCACTTTTCTTTGCTCTTTCTTACACTATTGGTGAAAATTATCAACTGAATATCGAAACTGAAGGTAAGATTGAAATAATACTGTCATACTTCAAATCATTAATCATTTAAATCATTGCCTCTAGGAACTTAGACTATGATACTTGTCTGTCTGTGCATCCATCTATCTGAATCTATTTATATGACTAAGTTTATTAAACGAAATAATTATAGCTCCCTTGTAATGTATACCCATTGTTTCAACTATTCATGATCATATACCCTTTCATGTAAGAGATGGGCCTAGAAAGAAGAAAGAATATTTTGGGAAAATTATTTTATAAAATTGTTTTTCTTTTATACATTTCTGTATTTAAATCTTTTGAGACCTTCAGTAATTCTTTATGTCTTCCACAATATGCTTTAATTGGTCTCTTAATTTTGACTTCAAAACACATATATACAGCACATATACAACCATTAAAAAAAAACTGAACACACACTGAAAAAGATCAGACATTATCTAGCTACTAATGGATCCACTTTTTGACCTGGGACTTCGAATCTAAAACAATTGGTGGCTTCCTTACTTTGTTCATTGTCAAAAATTTATTCCACAATCTTTTTGCTACTCCCAATAAATAAAGGCTATTTGGAATTTCATAGTGCTATTTCTGACCATATTCACTACTTTTCTGTTGTGAGTAGGCTTATGAAAGTGTTGGAATGTATCTACTTATTTTGGTATCTTTACACTGGGATTTAGCAGGACATGATGGAAAAATGCATAAAGGTTTTTCTCTGTCTGTATGTATATAAGCTTATGATGTTTAAAGTGTATATTTATAATGTGTATTTACAATGTAAGTAAAACAATGCATATTAATATAGAACCAAATTAACATAATTAATAGTTATAGACTATAAAATTCTTGCATTAAATAATATTCTTATGGACATTGTATCAATAAATAAACTACATACTATGCTCATATATTTATAATATATAATTTAAAATGTATAGTATTTGTAGAATATAAATATTTCAAATAAAGTTATTTATTAATTTATAGAATATATTTTAATATACTTATATTTGTTGAATGGACAGCTAATTGAGCAAGAAGGTGATTTATGAAGAGAAGGGAATGAAAAGCACATCATTTTTTTCTCTTGTTTTAAATATTGATTTATTTAATTGTTGTTCAAGTACAGTTTTCTGTCTTTTACTCCCATCCTACCCCACCCCCCCAGTGCTCCCCACCTCCCTCCCATTTCCACCCCCCTTAGTTTTTGTCCATGTGTCCTTTATACTAGTTCCTGTAAATCCTTCCCCTTTTCCCCTGAAATTCCCTCCCCTGCCCCCTCTGACCACATCATTTCTCTTCTTCCCTTTATCCTGTCCTGGTCAGAAAGGATGAGAAATTAGGAAGCACTGCTTGATACATATTAAAAATAGTACTTGATTAGCATTCAGTAGGAGCCATGGGAGTAAAATAGGACAATCTGCTTTCCTTTGTGTCTTCTTTAAGTCACCTTGATTATAGCTTATAAAAGGTAAAATATTTCATAAAAGATACTGTGTATTTGTTATATAAGTTTTGACTCTTGTAACAAAAACTTAAAATTATCTCTTCAAAGATATTTGCAAAGAAACGAAGGTTTTGAAAGCTTGCAAGAGACACATATCATTTCGATCAAAATATGTAATTTTCTTCCTCCTTGGGCAGACTATGCAGGGAATAGCAGGAATGCCTCTTTATACCCTCGGATGGGTCTTTGTCCATGAGAACGTTGCCACACACTCCGCTGGTATTTATTTAGGCAAGTTTTTCTTTCCCTTTATAATATGATTTACCCATTCTGAATTTTTATTGAGATTCTTTATTTTTTGGTGTGCATATCTAAACCGATACACAAATGCTAATTATTGGTTCTTATTAATTAATTAATTAATAATTATTTTAATTGTTGTTCAAGTACAGTTTTCTGTCTTATACTCCCATCCCAGCCCACCCCCCAGCCCTCCCCACCTCCCTCCCATTTCCACCCCTCCCCCCCTTAGTTTTTGTCCATGTGTCCTTTATACTCGTTCCTGTAAACCCTTCCCCTTTCTCCCCTGAAATTCCCTCCCCTTTCCCCTCTGGGCACTGTCAGACTTTTCTCTATTTCATGTGTTTGGTTATATTTTGATTGCTTATTTGTTTTGTTGTTTTGGTTCCTGTTAAAGGTGAGTTCTTATAATGATATCAGATTGAGTGCTAACTGGTATGCCTAATTTCAAATCACATCAAGCTGCTTAATTCTGAAGAGCTGCTGGAGATTTGGAATCGTAGACAAGTTGTCTGAAGGCCATCCTAAAAGATATAGAGCAAATACATTCTTTAGTAATGAAAACTGCACATATATATATATATATATATACTTTCCATATATACTGCATACACACACACGTGTGTGTGTCATGTCAAATTATATAGGCTGCAGTTCATTTTTCTGGAAAAAAAATTTTTAATTACCAGGTTGACTTACTTGAGTAGTTACATGTTTAACCTTTGGGGATATGTGTGGGAAGTTGCGGCCATCACATCCACAAGGGGATGGAAGCATTGTGTCATTCCTCTTCAGTACTGCGGTGCCAAAATAGTCATCATTGTATTGTTCTTTCCATACAGTAAGCCAGTCTTTGGGGAGGCTCTTCTATTTAGCAGTTAATCAATACAACCTGGTTTATATGTTCCAGGAGAGAAGTGATATGTTACTTAAAGGACCACAGTGTAGTATCCTCCATTTACACTGTTTTACGCTACTGTATCCTACAAAAAGTAACACCAGGATACAACTCAGAATAATTTGCATTTCCTTGTATTGCAATAGCTTCGAGTCCTGGTGGATCCTTTATTTGTACAGGGTTATTTAACTACCAGTTTTTAAAGAAAAATTAAAATTGTTTTCTATACTTATTGTGAAGATGACTTAAAAATAGCATCTTGAACCAAAATAATAATTTCTCATCAGAGGTAAGGAAAATCATGCCAATAAGCTAAAATAGATGACATTCATATATATGTTTGTTTTTAGAAAAAAATTTGCAGTGGTTTATTAGTCTCATGTGAGGGTAGAAACAAATATCTTTGTTTTACACTTGGTTCTACTGAATAGTAATTCAGTAGAACACACATCTATACACTGCGGAGAGAAGATGATGTTATTGTCACCTCTTGTAACTCTGGCAACTAAGATGAAAGATGCAAAGGTGATGATAATGTATCATTATAAAGTATCATCTTGTTTTAGTACCACAAATTAAAGTGAAAGAAGGTATATGGAATTCATATTTATATTAAATATAAATATATTTATATTACATTAACTATATAGATTATGGTACAGTGAAATATATGATTAAAGTATCTGAGCTTCTCTAATATACACATTGGATAGTATGTATGATGGTTAATTTTATGTGTAAACTTGGCATAGTTATGGCAACCAGTTGTTTGATTAAACACCAGTCTATATGTTTCTGTAATATTTTCTAGATGTGACTAACAGTTACAATCAGCAGAATTTGAGTAAAGAGATTACCTTCCAGAATGTAAGCCTCATTCAGTCAGTTGAAGCCCTTAGAATAAAGACTGAGTGTTTAAAAAAAAATGTTTCCAGAATACAACAGAGAAACTCTGAGTTTTCCCAGCCTGCTGGCCTGCCCTGTAGATTCCAGACTTAATTGTAGACTCAAGACTGTAACATTAACTCTTAGTTGGGTTTCCAACCTGCCAGCCTGTCATTCAAATTTGGACTTGCCAGCCCCCACAACTGCATAAGCCAATTCTTAAAATCTCACTCTCTAAATATGTTATTTGTTCACTTGAATGGCTCTGGAGAATCCTGACTAATAAAGTGTGCTATGAAGCTTGCACAAAGGATTCATTTTAGTGACATAGCCTTTTATTATCTCATGACACAGCTGGCTGATATAGCTGTTTGATGTTCAGTGTTCATTTTATAGGCCTTGCCCACGCTTCGGTAACAATTGGATATGCTTTAGGTTATGCCATAGCAGCACCCATACATGGGAACCCTGAGAATAGTACTTTTGTTAACAGGTAAGCTCTTTTCTTTCTTTTTTGTCTGCTTTGTGTAAAATATTGGACACTTTAGCTTATAAAAATAGACATTTAATTTGTTAACAATTATATCTTTACAAAAATATAGGTAAATGTGACTGATATGCACAAAAATATGCATATAAATATGTCTAAAATATACATTTTTACCATTACTGCTTAAAATATAATTAAAAAATGCTGCTTGTAATGGCAGCCTTGTTACTAAAGGTTTTTATAGTTTTTATAAAAATTGTAGTAAAAGACATGTAATATAAACTTTACCGTCCTGACCATTTGTAAGTGTATAGTACGGTCGTGTTAACTCTATGAACATTATCGTGAAACAGATATCTAGAAATTTTTTTCTTGCTAAACTGAAATGCTGTATCCATTGCACATCTCCCCTTTTTCCCTTTCTCCCCAGCTCTTGGCAATGACCACACTACTTTCTAAGAGTTTGACTACTTTAGATACCTCATTCACTTAGCATAATGGTCTCAAGTCTCACCCCTATTGTAGCATATGGCAGTATTCCTTCTTTTTTAAGGCTAAATAACATTCCATTGCATGTATATGCCACATTTTCTTTATCCATTATTCTGTCAACGGACATTAGGTTACTTCCAACTTGTAGCTATTGTGAATAATTCTGTAACTGACATGGGTGTGCAAACATCTCTTTGAGATTCTGCTTTCAGTCCTTTTTGATATATACCCAGAAATAGAAAATTGCTAGGCCACATGGTAATTCCTTTTTTTTTTTTTGAGGAACTTTCATACTGTTTTCTATAGTTGCTGTGCCATTATACATTCCCACCGATAATGCATAAGGTTGCCAGTTTTACAACATCTTTGCCAATGTTTATTTTCTGTTTTGCTTTGCTATTTGGTAATGGGAATCCTAATGAGTGTAAATTGATATTTTATTGTGGCTTTTATTTTTACTTCCTTCATGATTAGTGATGTTGCACATCTTTTTCTATACCTGTTGTTGGTCAGTATTTCTTCTTTGGAGAAATGTCTATTTAAGTTTTCATGACCATTTTTAAATAAAATTTTGTTGTTGAATTGAAGGAATTTTTAAAAATGTATTCTGGATATTGGCAATTTATCAGACACATAATTTGCAAATATTTTCTCCTGTTTAATAGTTTGCCTTTTCATTCCCTTGGCTGTTTTCTTTGCTTTGTAGTTTTTATTTATTTTATTGTATTTTTATTATATTTATTGGGGAGACATTGGTTAATAAAATTATATAGGTTTCAAGTATATGACTCTATAATACATCATTGGTATATTTCATTGTGTGTTCAGGCATTTCTCAAGAAATATTTTTTCTGACATTTGTTCTTAAGCAAGGTAAACAAAAGAAAAAATAAACAGATGGGACCACAGCAAATTCCTGCACAGCAAAAGAAACCATTTACAAAATGAAAAGATAATCCACTGAATTGGAGAATATATACACCAATGATACATCTGATAAAGAGTTAATATCCAAAATTTTTTTTTCAGATTTTTTTCTTTTTTAATTTATTTTTTTATTGGTGTTCAAGTACAGTTGTCTCCATTTCCAACCCCCAATCCCTCCACCACCCCCACCCCCACCTCCCACCCTGGATCCCACTCCCATTCGGCTTTGTCCATGTGTCCTTTATACATGTTCCTCAACAACCCTTCCCCCCCCCCATTATCCCCTCCCCACTCCTTACTGTCAGTTTGTTCTGTGCTTCACTGTTTCTGGTTGTATTTTGCTTGCTTGTTTGTTTTATGTGAAGACCTTATACAACTCAACACCAAGAAAACAAACAATCCCATTAAACAATGGACAAAGGATCTGAGTAGACACTTCTCCAAAGAGGACGTACAGATATAAAATAGACATAAAAAATGTTCAATGTCACTAATCATCAGAGAAATGCTGTGTAGTTTTTGTGTTTGATGTAGTCTCGTTTGTCTTCATAAAGCACATCCATACCTGTGGTTTCTCACACAATATTGTCTCTGACTAGGGAACATATGATAGGACAAAGGAAGTGTGGCAGTATGATAACTCCATAATTCACTGATCTTACTCTCTGCCCCCCAGTATCCAGAGGTAGCTAGTTTGATAGAATGATGTTATGGGTTGGTGCCATGAGTAGGTTTTTTGGTGCATTCTTTGGAGTTTTCTATGTATAGTATCCATAACATCTTAAAACAAAGCCAATTTTACTTATTCCTTCCTGTTATGGATTCCATTTCTCCTCCTCCTGCCTGTCCCTCCTCCCCTTTCATCCTTCCCTCTCCCCCTCCCCCATACCCTCTTCCCCCTTATCCTCTTCTCCTTCCTTTTCCCTAATTACTCTGGCTGGTACTCACAGTCCTATGTTGAATAAAAGTGAGGAGACTGGGCATTCTTGTCTTGTTCTTGATCTTAGAAGAAAAGGTTCCCCTTTTCAACAGAGTATGACATTAGCTATGAACTTGTCATATATGGACTTTATTATGTTGAAGTATGTTTTATCTATAACCACTTTTTTGAGGGTTTTCATCATGAATGAATTTTGAATTTTGTCAAATGCTTTTCTGCATCAGTTGACATGAGCATATAATTTTTATCTTTCATTATCACATTGATTGATTTGTGGACATTGAACCATTTTTGTATTTCTGGAATGAATTCCACTTCATTGCAGTGTAATGATCCTTTTGATGTTTTGTTAAATTAGGTCTGCTAAGATTCTGTTGAGGTTTTTGCATCTATGTTCATTAGGAATATTTGCCTTTCATTTTCTTTTTTCCTAGCATCCTTGTCTTGTTTTGACTGTGCATTTAAATTTAACTTCCAATTAAAATTTACTATTGCATACAAATACAAGGCATGGGCCAATATTCTATTCATTTTCTCCAAAGGATATCTAATTGTACTAATGACATTTTAGGTAATTTCATTTTTTTAATTAATTTATTTTTAGTGATATTAAATACCAACTTTTTCATAAATTAAATGTCCCTGTAAGTATGAGGTTTTTTCTTATCTATCTAATGTATTCTCTGATATGTTTTTTATTACATGCCAATACTACAATGTTTTAATAACTAAATGAAATAACTAACTTAACTAAACATAACTAGTTATATTTAATAACTAAAGCTTTATCATGATTTTAAATTTGATTGAATAAGTCCCTACTCATTACTATCCATTAAATATCAGGGGCTGTTTTGCAAAATTACTTACTTTTGTTTTAGTATTTTTTAAAAATTATTTTTAAGTACAGTTTTCTCTCTTTTACTCCCATCCCAGCCCACCCCCTGTGCTCCCTACCTCCCTCCCATTTCCACCCCCCTTAGTTGTTGTCCATGTGTCATTTATACTAGTTCCTGTAAATCCTTCCCCTTTTTCCCCTGAAATTCCCTCCCTTCTCCCCTCTGGTCACTGTCCCCTGTTCTCTATTTCAGTGTCTTTGTTTTTATTTTGCTTGCTTGCTTGTTTTATTGATTAGGTTCCTCTTAAAGATGAGATCATATGGTATTTGTCTTTTCACTGTCTGGTTTATTTCACTTAGCATAATGCTGTCCAGTTCCATCCATGCTGTAGCAAAGGGTAGGAGCTCCTCCTTTTTTTCTACAGAGTATTATTCTATTGTGTAAATGTACCACAGTTTTTTGACCCACTCATTTACTGATGGACACTTAGGTTTATGTTCTTCAATGAAGTTTTATGACTTGCTTTATTGAGATATTCTATTAAGCTTATTCCTCCTGACTTTATGTATTTTGTTTTTGCATGAAATATTTGTATTATTGCATTTGCTAATCATTTATTTGTATGAGGAGGAAATAATTGATTTGTAAGTTTGTCACATATATGTTACACTAGTAAATTATTTGCTTATACATTGTAGTTTTTAATTTTTAAAAAAATTTAAAAAGTATGTTATTTCTTTATTTTTAGAGCAAGGAAAAGGGAAGGAGAAAGAGAGGGAGAGAAACATCAATGTGTGGTTGCCTCTTACATGGCCCCCACTGGGGACCTGGCCCGCAACCCAGGCATGTGCCCTGACTGAGAATTGAACCATGAGCCTTTGGTTCGCAGCCCACACTCGATCCACTGAGCTACACCAGCCAGGGCTACTTTGTAGTTTTAAAGGTTTATTTTCCTTAAATAAAGTCAATTTAGGTAGTGAATTACTTACACAAATGTAATAATTATATTATGCAATATAATGCATATAGTTAGAATATACAGCTGGGTTCAAAAGTGAAAACAAAATTTCTGAAAATTATAATTATTGAGGAAACTCATACCTCTAGTGAGAGTCTGAGGTCAAAACTCATTAGGCATACTTGTGCCTACAGGATAATGGAAGTCAAGACTGCAGCCCTGTGTCATGCACTTTGGAATTAGTAACCCTGAATAGTGTAGCAATGGGTAAGGAGTTGGCTCATCAATAAATCAGAATATATTCTCCACAGTCAATGAGAGCCAGGGCCTATAAGCAAGCTACTCATTGGGTGTCTGTTGGAGGCAGAGTCACTAGTGAGAAACTAGCACCTCCAAAACTGTAGTTCCTGAGGATGCGGGCCTTTTCCCACAATGGCTGGTTGGACAAGGTCTGACAGGTCTGTGAAACGGAAGGAAATGGCAGTTACGTTGTAATCAACTTTCCTAAATCTCCGCCCTAAGCGATACAAAATAACTTCGCAACCATGAAAATTTTCCACAAAATCATTCTTTGAGACAAAGAATGCTGAAATTGTAAAATAAGTATGAATACAAAGAGCAAATTTAAAAATCCTAGCACAGGATCCTTCATATTCCCATCCCACTCTGCCCTCTATGAGGCTTTGTGGTTTACAAAGGTGCAGCAAGAAAAACTGAAGGGAAGTCAGAAGACAACGGCTTGAACAAAGGATCCTGAGGGTGAGTAGTTATGATCATTAGAAGGGTAACTCACTCTTAGTCTAAGGGCTCAGAGAAGGAATTATAAGCCTGAGAGTTCACAATAAATGTGTTTTAAAGGGTTAGCCATATAACTTAAAAGGAGTGTTTTCACTAAAGGCCTTGCCTGATTTAAAGGCGCAGGAATGATTTTAAAGGAGAGATCAGAGTTAAAGGGATAGTCTTCCAACTGCACAGCTTCTGTTGGAGAAAAAGAGTTAAAAAGGTTTTTAAAATTACTCTTCATCACCGTAGTGAATAGGGGAGAAGAAAAGGGAAATATTTAGGATCATACAGGACAAAAGGGAATTGGAGGCCTCATAACAATTCATTCTCAGCAAAACAAACAATAGGGACAAATTAATAGAAAACGTTTCATTTTTCTCTCCCCGTTTCTTTTTCTGTTAGATTATGTCTTTGTCTGTAATAAAATACACAAACTTGAAATCTTTCATTTGTTTTTATTAAAGCAATGAAGACAGTAATAATGGTGAACACTGGCTGCAGACTTGGTGGATTCGTTTTGTTTTTGTTTCAGTCATTGCGTGGTCCACAATAGTACCATTCTCATGCTTTCCAGAGCACATACAAGGTGACTGTAGTGATGTAATCCATTATTAAAGGACAATAGGTTCCTCATCCTGCCCTCATCTTCCACTCTCAGAGTATGTCTGCATTGCACTTCTCTGCGTGAAGATGCAGAGACATGTGAGAGAGAGGTTTCGTTGGACAAATGAGCCTCACGTGGCCAAATACTATTTTATTTAAGTACTAGGCTTACATTAGCACCTATTTTTGGTTTTTTTGTCATTTATTTTTTAACAGTTGTTTTTTAAAATCAATAGTTGTTTATTTAAAAAATCTGTTAGGTATTGAGTTCATAAGTTTTCTCAGAGAAAGACACATATTGACATCTATTTACCCAGCTTTAATTTAATACATGTACTACCACACAAAATTGCTGTAAGATAAAATGGTAACTACTGAAATTCTTTTAAAAACACTAAAAATACATGTAACATTAGAGACATCAAACATTCTCCTAATGGTAGAACATTTCATTGGCACAAAATACTTTTAGTAATATCAAAAGTTACTCTTCTATATTTTAGGCCTGTGCTGTCAAATACTGTGGTAACTTGCCATGGGTCAATATTGAAATTTTACACTAAATTATGTTAAAAATTCATTTGCTCAGTCATAGGAGATACATTTCAAATGCTTAATGGCTACAGTAGTATATAGTGTAGACATGGAGCATTTTCATTATAACAGAATGTTCTTTAAGATAGTACTATTAGAAACATGTAACTTTTACTTAATTAGATTGACTTCAGCTTGTTTAAAAATAGCTCACTTGTCATTCCAAGAGGAACAAATTTTTATAGGATGTGTATGTGTGCTTATATATGTGTTTTTGTTATTTGAATATGTCAGAAGCTTCTTTTGCTTGTTAACATCAGGTACAGCAAAGATGAACTCTGGGAAGCACAAGAAGGTTCCTTTGTTGGAGAGGAAATACAAAGATCAGGAATCTGAAGCTAGCATCAAAGATTTATTTGCTTCCATTTGGGTAAAGTAAAATATTTTGCATGAATAAGACTATTAAATTGACTCGTAAAATTTATTAATAGTGAATTAGGAAAATAGTCATAAACTGTTCGACTTAAACCCGAGTGGGACTTTTGAAGTCTTTTTATAAAAATTGTTGTTCAAGTGCAGTTTTCTGCCTTTTACCCCCAGCCCAGCCCCCCCTGCAGCTCTCCCCACCTCCCTCCCGTTTCCACCCCCCTTGTTATTTTTTAAAATTTTATTTAGTTACTTTTCAAGTACATTTTTTTAATCTATTTCTCCCATCCCACCCACCCCCCGCCCGGTCTCCCCCCTCCCTCCCATTCCCCCCCCACCCAGTCCTCATCCCTGTGTCTTTCACACTTGTTCCTCAAAATCCCTCCCCCTTTTTCCCCTTAAATTCCCTTCCCTCTCCCCTCTGGTCGCTGCCCACTTGTTCTCTATTTCAGTGTCTTTGTTTTTATTCTGTTTGCTTGTTTGTTTTGTTGTTTAGCTTCCTGTTAAAGGTGAGATCATATGGTATTTGTCTTTCAATGCCTGGCCTATTTCACTCAGCATAATGCTTTCCAGTTCCATCCATGTTGTTGCAAAGGGTAGCTCCACCCCCCTTGTTATTGTCCAGGTGTTCTTTATACTTGTTCCTGCAAACCATTCACTTTTTTCCCCCTGAAATTCCCTCCCCTTAATTAACCTCTTTATTTTATGGGTAATGAAAAATAGGAGCCAGCTTACCTCAGAAGTATTTTCAAGAACTTGGCTTAGTGTCAGGAACTGGTACCAAGGGTTTTCCTTTTTCTATTTTTTCTTATTATTTTGTGTTTATTTTTTTCCTGCTGAAATATAGGTTTTAACATTATGTATCTTTTAATTATGTTTAAATAACTTAGAATTCTAGAAGTTAACAAATATTCGAACCAACTTATTTTATTGAAAATATCTCAATATCAGATGGAGAAGAACTCTGTTACTCTAGGTGAGAAACAAGGTGTACAATTCAGACATAGTAGGGTTAAAGACACCAACTTCTAAATAATGATTCTGCCTTCCATTTGTTTTCTGTCCACAACTTCGTCTTTTACGTTGCCTGTAGAATTGTATTTCTCACGTGTAGACTTCATCTAGTCATTTCCCAGATTACTTGGTAGATGAATTTCATACTCTTTTACCCTTCACAATAATGTCAACTGAATTTCCCCACCTCATTTTAGAATTTTATTCCTCTCTCCCTAACATTCCAGCCACTTATTCTTCCATGGATATATTAGGTACTTTTATAGTTCTATGCCTTCGTAGATGCTAATCTCTCAACTTCTCCATTAAAAAAAATAAAACAAAACAAAACTCTTTGTCAAAGCTTATCTTACATGAGTTTCTCCTTTAGTACTGCTTTCATAGATATTTGTTCAAAATGTAGTATAGAAAATATAACACATATATATGGGATAAACATATACATAGTGCTTTTTATTGTATTAGTCTAATTCATCTTAAAATGAACAGATATGTTGTATAAAATCACAAATTTTGTTTACTTGTTTTCATTCAAACATGTAAGTGTTTATATTTTTATTAAATCATGGATCATTCCTAGTAATGGATTATATATTATTCAGATTTTTATTTAATTTTATTTTATATCAAAATATTACATGATTATATTTTAATAATGCATAAATAAATTAGGTATAACCCCTTTCGTATTGTTAAAAATTAAGATACAGTTAAAAACACTTTTCAGAAAATTTAATTATGAACATTTTAAGTTTGTTTTTGTAAGATAACTGCCATGCAACAAACAAAAACAATCTAATTTCAATACCTCTCCTAGAAATAATGTTTTTATTATTGTTAGGATACCAAAAAATATAATGCCTTGTTAACAGTCTTAAACTTTTGACTGACACCTACCTGTCTGTGTAAGTAACTAAAAGATATCTTAATACTTTAAAAAAATTTTTAGAAGCTTGGGACTTCTAGAATATTAGAGTGAGAGGCTCGGAAAATCTTCACCTTAAAATTATGGTAGCTGAAACTGGCAAAATTTTTAGCAATCATTAAAAAATTCTGGAAATTAGGACTACACTCTCAGAATCACTGATCCGATTTATCAGAAATCTTTCTACTTACCCTAATTCTGAGAGCACAATTACAGAGAAGATTCTGTATATGTCACTGGCTTGTACATTTGGTGCATGGTAGGTGCCTGCCCTATGAGAGAGGAAGGCTAGGAAGATCATAAATGACATTTTGATGTTCCTAACACATTGCCAAAGGTGGCCAAGAGCAAAACATTTGTCAAAAGTGACATTGTCTTTCTTTAAGCCCACCTGGACTTTATATAAACAATAATTTGAGAAATTCTTATTTTCAGCTTTTAAGTAAGAATCAGTATATAATTAAAATGAAATACTTCCCACTCTTTTAATTTTTTATTACAACCTGATAAAAGCATACACATCTAATTTCTAAATGAGTAGAAGTTAACAATTGTTAAAGTCAACCATTTTAAAGGGCCCTTAGATGTAATTTGGGGGATATTATTATTTTGTATGCCTTAGATTATATTCTATTAAAAATGGTTATAATAGTATATATCTTGTATATGTGCTTAGAATTAAATGTGTTTATGTATGTAAGGTGCTTAGAACAATGATTGGCACATAGTAATACACATAGTAATACAATATAAGTATGTTATTTTAGTTTTACTTATTCCTGTTTTTTTTTAACTTATGTAGTATCACTGTGTTAGGTATTGAAGATACAACAGTAACTAACACCTATGCTGTTATGGACCATATGGTCTTGTGTGAGTCTCAAATTTAACAAAATGGATTAACAACAACTAATTAACAGTTGTTAATCCTCTGTGAAGCCTACTTTAGATGTGAGGGAAAGAAAACTTAACTGAACTGGGAACATTTAAATGGGGCAACCTGAACCATGATAAGGAATAATCCATGTGAAGAATAGTCGTTAATTAGATACCAAGCCCAAGAGACTCATGTGGAAAGACCTTACATCGGCAAAGATTTGGGTATGTTAATGAAGGTTTTTGTGGCACATGGTAAGAACTTTAGATTTTATTCTTAATGCGATAGGAAGTCACTAATATACTATAAGTGAGGAAATTATTTGAACATGAGATAAATTTTGTTTTAATAACTTTTAAACATGACTGTGTACAAACTGAAATACAATGGGAAAAGAACTGAAAAGGCCGTGCAATTTGGCCATTGTTTCAGGAAGTTTTCCCTGGGTCCTATAAGTGGTTGGTTTTTTTGTTCAGCTGTAGTATATACCAATTGCAGGAATCAACTAAAGAATCACTTGGCATTTATAAAATTCAGGGCTACTGACAATGGTTTGTGTAAGAAGAAGACCAAAAGAATAAAAATAATCTTCCAGGTATCAACTTGGTCTGAGCTTCTAGAGCCTTAGAAAATAAATAGATAGATAGATGATAGATAGATAGATAGATAGCCTAAAATATGGGGAAGCAAATGTACTAAACTCTAGGCACAAGCATGTGATACTAAGATCCAACAGAAAGGCCCGAGCGTCTAGGCCCTTGCTTTTAACATTGTGCCAAGGTGAGTTTTGGAAAGAAAACAGAGGAATAATGAATCATATTTTAGGGAGCCTATTGGATTAAAAGAAATTCCCAGTGTTCGTTTCATGGTTTTAGCACCTGCCAAAGATGAGTTTCTCAGCAGAGCATATCTGTTAAGCCATGTCGGTGAAGTTAAAGTCGAGCATGTCTTCCCTGATAATAAAGGAGTCAGCCAGTTTTGCCTACTAGGTTGTTGTTTACTTATGAGTTAAGCAATGAAAATAATTAAAGGATTCATGCAGGAAAAGTGGAATTCAGCAGTATTCATAGATATAATACCTTATCAGGTAAGAGCAAGAGATGCTATGACTTTCTGTGAACGAGTAAGGAGTAGAGTTCTGTGTGAGCATATACTTCGCGATAATCTCATAGGCAGAGAGATTTTCCATGTCAGGGTCTGTTACTCTGGCCTAAGCCAAAAAGCCAGGTTGCACACTAGAAACTGGCCACCTAGTTATCATCCTTTTCTTCTTTGATAAAAAAATCTTAGAGAGAGCCAGCTCTAGCCTTCTCTTTGTGATCCATGATTTATCCAAGAAGTAATGAGGCAAACAGTAAATCAGGTCCCTCCTAATCCACAGGTTCTGACCTGTTTGCAGGCCTAACCACTAGTAGGCCTACCCATTGGGGACACTATATAACATTTACTACTGGTGAGGTTTATGCAAATGTTCACATTTCTTTGATTCTAAGCCACACACTTTCTTCCCTTCACATTTTAACACCTTTGAAATTGGCTTGTGTATTAAATTGATGGAGTCTCGAAATAACTATGTCAGGAACTTCATTGTGACATAGTAGATATTGCCTAAGGATGGGCAAAGTTTGCCATGGTTGTTCATATTTCTATTACTTTGAGTCATAAACATCAGTGGCGATGCCCATATTGAGTGAAACTGCTTTTTTAAAACTCTTTAAAAAGATGATGCAATATCTATATGTTAAATTATAAGGTTATTATATGTGTAGAGCAGAGGCAGTAATAGAACATAATTTTGACATTAGTAAAACAAATACTTGCTGTTTGGAAGAATGAACACTTGATCACATTTTCTTGCAAAGTAATATCCAAGTGTTTTATGGGACTTAAGCAAAGTACCCTCACAGTAGAGAAAGCTTTATTGTCCCTTTATTGAGATATCTGCAAAAGGGTTGCCTACCACACACTGGGCTCTGCAGGTGAATCAGAAATAAGTGGCAAGTACTTCCTAATAAATCTAATATACTTCCAAAGCTGGTGAGATTGATAACTGCATAGCAGTGAGTTTTACCTAAGGCATCATATCATACTGTGGAAGTGACAGTATTATTTCTCCTTAGCAGTACATAAAATAATGGTGCCTCTTATAATTGAGGGCATTTTAGATTCAATGAAATATGGTATTTTAATCTTTCTGAGCCTCACTCTCTTTGGCTAAGAACTTGCTATTATAACAACACGTACCTCATAGAAATGTAAGGTATGTCCAGGTCCTCTGTCCATTTTTTAATCAGATAAAATGCAAAATTTAAACGACTCTATTCTTTCTGTATGTAGAATTTACAGGAATAAAATATTATAGAAATTTGACTGCAATCCTAGTGAATTTTCTTTAGCATTGCTTAAATTATTTTTGTCTATTTTTTAGCTAAATAAAAATATTTGCTAAGAAAAAATAAACTAAATAAAGTTAAGGGAAAATCTAGACAACTGGTTAATGATATTTACTTTTTAAAATCTTTCTGGCAAACTGCCAGAAATACAAAAAGGGCATTCCACTGGTGCCCTTAACCTGCTGCCCTGGTGCTAGAACCCAGAGGGAGTGAGTCTGTGTAAGTCCTAAGTCTGTTGTGAGTTCTTTGAATCTTTCTGGCAAATTGTCAGACCTACAAATAAAAATTACAAATGGTATGGACATCAAATTACAAATAAAAATGGTTCAAACCCTCCATGCCTTTCATGGTATCTGTATATTAGTGAATTGTAAATTTCTGTTGGATAAGTGTGTGTGTGTGTGTGTGTGTGTGTGTGTGTATATATTCCATATTTTGCCATGTATAATGCACACCCATGTTTTTTGCCTAAACTTTCAGAAAAAAGGGCTTTTATTTTAATTTTTAAATTCAATTATTATTTATCCATTTAGATACTTGTTTTTGTATTATAAAGGAATTTAAGCATTGATTTTTGAACATATGGTACAATAAATTTTATGGAACAAACAACTACAAAACACAAGAACAGATACAAGGTATAAGAAACTTTTTGTACTGGAAACAAATTAGTACTATTATGTATAATGCACACCCTCAATTTTTCCTAAAAAAATGTGGGTAAAAAAGTGCACACTAAACAGCAAAATACAATGTGTGTGTGTATATGTATATTTAATTCAATTTACACTGGGAAAGGTTAAATTTTTGTAGTTTGGTTTTTAACATAAGAGTGAGATATCTATTCCTCTTTAGCTAACTAAATAAAATAATCTATATGTAACTTTTTTTATTTCAGATACTGATAAAGAGTCCAATCTTTATATGCTTGTCTCTGACCCAAGCTTCAGAATCTTTACTTATGATTGGAGCTTCTGAAATTTTGCCTAAATATCTAGAAAATCAGTTCATATTAAATCCTCATCAGGCAGCTACAATTTCAGGTAATTTTTATGCTCATTGAACTCATTTGGAAATTTTAATGTAAAGTTTCCTTATATGTATTTATAAAATATTTCAAAAAGGAGAAAGTAGGTCAGTAATAGTATTTGCTCAGATGTTAAATACCTAAATACCCTTTGCTCAAATTTAAAAAATGAACAATCCATCATCATTGCATCAACACTTTAAAATATAATTTATTGATTATGTTATTACAGTTGCCCCAGTTTTCCCCCCTTTGTCCCTCTGTATCCAGCACCTACCATTCCCTCTAGCAATCCCACTCCCTTAGTTCATCTCCATGGGTCATGCATATAAATTCTTTGGCTTCTCCATCTCCTATACTGTTCTTAATATCCCCTGTCTATTCTGTACCTACCAATTATGCTTCTTAATATTTCCCCCCATTCTCCTTCTTCCCCCTCCCAACTCATAACCCTGAAAATGATCCCCATATCTATGATTCTGTTTCTGTTCTGCTTGTTTGTTCAATTTGACTTTTAGATTCAATTGTTGTTAGTTGTGAATTTATTGCCATTTTAATGTTCACAGTCTTGATCTTCTTCCTTTTCTTAAATTAGTCTCTAACGTTTCACATAATAATGGCTTTCTAATGATCAGCTCTTTTGGCTTTACCTTGTCTGGAAAGCACTTCATCTGCCTTTCTGGTCCCAATGATACTTTTGCTGGGTAGAGTAATCTAGGTTTTAGGTCCTTGCTTTTTATCGCTTTGAATATTTCTTTCCAGTCCCTTCTTGCCTGCAAAGTTTCTTTTGAGAAATCAGCTGATAGTCCTATGGGAACCACTTTGTAGGTGGCTATCTGCTTTTCTCTTACTGCTTTTATGTTTCTCTCTTTATCTTTAACCTTTGGCATTTTAATTATGATGTGTCTTGGTGCGGTCCTCCTTGGGTTCATCTTGTTTGGGACTGTATGTGCTTCTTGAACTTGTGTTTCTGTTTCCTTCACCAAATTAAGAAGTTTTCTTTCATTATTTTTTCAAAAATATTTCAATTTCTTGCCCTTTCTCTTCTTCCCTATGATTCGAATGTTGGTGTGTTTGAAGTTGTCCTAGAGGCTCCTTAGCCTATCCTAGGATTTTAAATTCTTTTTTCTACTTGTTGTTCTGATTTAATGCTTTTTCTTTCTGTGTTACAAATTGTTGATTTTATTCTCAACTTCATCCCCTCCACTGTTGGTTCCCTATAAATTTTTCTTTATTTCACTTAGTGTAATCTTCATTTCTGCCTGATTCTTTTCAATGCTGTTGAAGTACCCGAATGAGTTCCTTGAGCATCTTTGTAACTAGTATTTTTAACTCTGTATGTGATAGATTGCTTATGTCCTTTTTGTGTAGTTCTTTTTCCAGAGTTTTGTTTTGTTCTTTCATATGGGCCATATTTCTTTGTCTCTTCATTTTGACAACCTTCCTGTGTTTGTTTCTGTGTATCAAGCAGTGCTTCTTTGACACTCTGTCTGAATAGCATGGTGTATTGTAGAAAAGCTCATTAGTAAGTTAGATGGGGCAGAGCCTTAGGTCATTCACAGGGCAGGGCAACCAGTGTTGCCATTCTGTGTCTCTCAGTGTAGGAGGGCTCAGAAAAGGACTATGGCTGCTGCCTAGCCTCTAGAGTTTTGTCCAGGAGGAAGCTGTCTCCTGACACTTGCCGTGATGCCAGTCACTTCAGTTTCTCCCTCCATGCCACTGGTGCCTTTACACCTGCCGCCCTGATGCTAGAACCCAGAGGGAGTGAGTCTGTGTAAGTCCTAAGTCTGTTGTGAGTCCTTTAAATAGAGTAGTAATTATGTGTCTATAAATAAAATTTGTCAGATTGAGGAGAAAAATCTACTATATTACTTATAAGAGGTACACCTTAAATGTAAAGACATGAAAAGGTTGAAAGTCAAAAGATGAATAAAATTGTATTATATGAACACTAACCAAATTATATTAGTATATAATACACTAACCAAATTATATTATATGAACACTAACACTAAGCGATAAAAAACAAAAGGTGGTGTAACTATAGTAATTTTTTTAAGTTTTATTGTTGTTCAAGTACAGTTGAGTGCATTTCCCCTCCACCAAGCCCCCCATCCTAGCCATCCTCACTTTTCTCCCCTGATTCCACCCCCTTCAGGTTTGTCCATGTGTCCTTTATAGTTGTTCCTGAAACCCCTCCCCCCTTTCCTGCTATTGTCCCCTCCCACTTCCTGTCTGGTTACTGTTAGATTGTTCATAGTTTCAATGACTCTGGTTATATTTTGCTTGCTTATTTCTTTTGTTGATTACATTCTACGTGCAGGTGAGATCATATGGTATTTGTCCCTCACCACCTGGCTTATTTCACTTAGTATAATGTTCCTTAGTTCCATCCATGTTGTTGCAAAGGGTAGGAGCTCCTTCTTTCTTTCTGCTGCATAGTATAAAAGTCCTAGAGGAAAATGTAGGCAGGAAAATCTCAGATATTCCACATAGCAATATTCTCACTGATATGTCTCCTAGAGCGAGGGACATAAAGAATAAACAAATGGGATGTTATCAAAATAAAAAAAAACTTCTGCCTTGGTAAAGAAACAGCATTAAAATGAAAAGAGAATAATGTATGTGAAAACATATTTACTGATGATACCACAGACAAGGGCTTGGTCTCTGAGAAAAACTATAGTAATTTTAAATACAGTATTCTTCAAAGCAAGAGGCATTACTTAGTAAAAAAGAAAGCATTTATTATCTAAGAAGAGTCAACTAGTGAGGTAGGTAATATAGTTAAGCATGTGTATGCCCTCAACAATATGATTTTAAATTGCATAAAGTAAAAATTGAGTTAATTAGATATTAGTGATATTAGATCACTTAGATATCTCTATGAAAAATAAATAAATCTTGACCTCTTCTTCACTACATATACAAATACAAATTCTGGATGGATTGTAGATCTAAATGTGAATGATGAAATAATACAATTTTTCAGAATAAGGTATAGGAAAAGATCTTCATAGCCTCAGAAAAGACAAAGATTTTTTAAATAGGACATAAATCATATAATTCTAAAGAAAAATAAGTGGTTTTACATTAAAATTAAGAATTCCTGCTCATAAGTGTCAGCATAAAGAGTGAAAATGCAAACATAATCTTTTTGTAGAAATAATCTACAAAAGATTTATGTGCAAATGTATAAAAATATTTGACAATAATAAAAGGGTAAATAATCCAATAAAAGTAGACAAAAGGCTTGAACAGGCATTCTATAAAATATGCTGTCAGTTGGCCAGTATTCATATCAAAATGTGCTCACCTTCAGTGGTTTTCAGAGAAATGCCACACTGTAATACTATTATTGCCCATTCACCAGAATGGCTAAGATAAAAAAAGAAATAGATGTTGGCATGAATGAGGTATTGGCATTTTTTCTACTACTTGTGAGAGTGAAAATTGGTTTACCATTTTATAATCTGTTTGGCAGTATCATAAAAATCTAAATACATACATATCCCCTAACTCAGAAATTTTATTCCTGGTCACATACCCGACATACATTCCTCTCTTCAGAATATGGCCAACAGAAATGCACATCAATTTTAAATTTAAAAATAGCACAATTCACAAGATCACAGTGAATAAATAAGTTGTGGTGTATGCATATACATTTCTATTCAGCAATGATAGGACATGACCTATTGTTATATACAAAAATATGGGTGAATTTTTCAAGCATGATGTCAAATGAAAGAAGCCATAATGTATGCATAGTTTGAGGCCCATATTTTATAAGATTCTGTAAGTCCATGAAAGAGCCTGTGGATCTTTTGGTAATGTTCAATATTTGACCCAGTGGTGGTTACATATGTTATGTTCCCTTTGAAAATTCATCAATATGTACAATTTTGATCTGTGTACTTTTTGCTACACCAATAAAAATATTTATTAAGATAAAATTGATTGAAAGTTTTGCACACGGCAGTTAAATTTTCAACTGGTTTCCTTTTAGGGTGGTCTTTCAAGGACCCAGGTTTACTTATTGAAACCCCAGGATCCAGTATTTTCTTATTGCTTAGGGCAGTGATTTTCACCTTTCTCATCTCATGGGACACATAAATTCATTACTAAAATTCTGTGGCAGACTAAAACATATATTAATATTTTTGCCAATCTGACCAAAAAAAGTAGGTATGATTTTGATTCATTCACACTTGACGGCTGTTGTTGTGTTGGCTGTTATCATTGTTTTTTTTTAATTTGACAGTCTAAGGGAAAAGAGGTCAGTGCCCCTGACTAAATAGTCAGGTATTGCATGTTTTAAAAATCATTGTGGTGCAGCAGTGTGCCTCAGCATACTGATTGAAAATCGCTGGCCTAGGGCAGTAAGCCTGACAGCCAGTGGTTTACTTACCTGAGTTGGGTTCTCAGTTTTCTGCCCAGAGATGCAGTTGGCTTCCCCAAATCTACAGTTCTCAAGTTCAAATTGAATAAGTCTAGGCTATTCTTCTTGGTCAATCATATGGCAGGTAGGTGAGCATAGGAATTTGGAGGATCAAACATTCTATATAGACTGCCATCCAATCCTCGGTCTCACTGCTTCATTGGTATCTACTGCCTTTAACTTCCGTGAATCTCGGGTGAAATGTGGTTTGCCTCTTTTTGGTTTCCTTGCCAGCAGGCTTATTCCTTATCCTCTGAAGCCTCTTCATTCAGTTCCAATTCTCAGAATTTTCTGGATAAATATTGCCCCCTGTACTTTTTTGCTTCCTAATAAATAAATTTGTCTGTAAATGTCTGCCTTTTAACAAGCATTTATGTAGTGTTTACTCTCTGACTAGATGCTGCTCTAAGCACTTAAATATTAACTCATTTAATTCTCCTAACAACCTTATGATGAAAGTATCATAATTTATAGATTTTCTTTAGTAGCATGTCATACATTTAGATATAATTTTATTATTGCTCAGTTATAACTATTTTTAATTTTCATCATCATATTTTTATTTTATCCATGAATTATTGAGAAGAGATTTTTAGTTGCTAAATAAATGTTTTTGTTTATCTTTTAAAGTAACATTGTTCAAATCAATCAATATTTTTAATATCTTTAATAGTGTTACAAGCTGTCTGCTTTGAGGAAGCTGAGTTAAAATACTACTTTGTTTATAAATTTTTAATTTTCTTGAAATCTGGGTGGTTAAGAAATTTATTTTATGCAATGTTATGATCTATTTTCATTATACATATTTTTCACTACTTTGGTTACAAACGTTGCTTTTAAAAATATCAAACTCAATAAAGTGTTTTTAATAGTTTAATTTTATTTATTTAGTATTGTGAATTTTAATTTAAGTAATTTTAACTTATTTGTATTTTTTATTACCCTTCTATTTTTCTTTTTTTATTTCTTATTATCTTTTCTGCTCTCAATGGCCTTATTTTTTTATTCATTATCCTGTTTGGTTTAGGATATTTTAACTCCCCACCGACAGCTCACAAACCCTACTTTTCAGGAGTGTGTGTGTGTATGTGCATATGTGTTTGGTCTAGGTTATTAATTTTAGCTTTTAAAAATTAGCTATAATTAAAATTGTTTTGCAAGCAACATGCTTTTTGGCAGCTCTTATAATTTTTTGCTTTAGTCTTGATGTTATGAATTTCCCTAGCTTATTTCTTTATGTGCAAGATGGATGTAATTATTTAGTTTGTACTCCTCAGTAGTTAAAATGTACTTTTATTCCCAGGACTAATACTTTTTAAGTCATGGAACAATCCTCATTCTCAGTTATAGTTTTTCAAATATTGTTTTTCTGGTATACCTGTCATTGTATTTCTCAGAACTGCTGTAAACCATGTTGTGGAGCTTCTTATCCTCTTATCACTGTGTTTTAAAAGAAAGTTTATTTTTCAAATTGTTTTATGTTTACAGAAAAAAAATTGAAGATAATGCTAGAGTTTCTATATATGTACCCCCAGATTTCATTTTCTAAAGGTCTTACATTAGCATGATAGAATGGTTAGGATTACTGAACCAATATCGCTTTTTTCTAAATTACATACTGGATGAATAACACAATGCCTTCTTCCAATTTATTAACTCAGTTTTTAGATGTCTTTAGTCTGGAATTTGAGTTTTCTTTTTAACAGTTATAAATTTAAGTATCTAGGTCTTTTATTTGTTCTTTTCTTAATCCATCTGCTCTTATTTTTCATTACTTCTCTTATTACTTTATTTTTTACTTTATGGAAGTTGCATTGTCATTAATCTTTTTGAGCATTCTAAAATTATTTACAATGTGTCAGAAAATTTTATGACATAAATTGAATCTGGTGTTAATAAGATTTTTATTTGTTTTTGCCTTATATTTCTCCTCCTATTTTCCCATTTAAATCTACCATTTCTATATGTTTGGGGCAGAGGGGATTGCTATCTTCATCTGATTGATTATTTTCTAATTATATTTCTTCCTCTCCTCCTCCTCCTCTTTTTCTTTCTTATGTTTACTTCTTTGTAATCCCTTAGACTTCATAGAAAAGAAAACCTCATCTCCTAATCGCTATTCTATGAGTCCTGCTTTGTTGTGAGATTGTTGATGTTGTGCGTACATTCACAGAATCAGTGAGTGACTTGGTAACCCATCTCCATGTATTCTTGTCACTATGGGAATGTTTCTAGCTATAAATCATTAATCCAGGCAGATATCCATTAACAGCACTCAGTAAAACAATTCTCATCTTCTAGTTCATATGGATTAAGTTTTAGGTTTACCTTAGATGTCATTACCACATAAAGGCAAAATTTAGCAGCTCTGCCCTAAAGTCCATTAGGCTGACAGTGTCAACCCCACTCAAATTAGTATTAATTGTAAGGTTTAGATTTGTTGAGTTGTTTATCATGGCTTCAAATTCTCTCTCTGTCTTTTTATTTAAATCTATGTTTGCTATATGTTTAGAACAGAGGGGATTGCATCAACGTATGAATTTTCTGTACTCTCTTTAGTTGATTGTTTTTAATTGTGTCTTCTCTTCTCCATTTTTTAAGGACTTGTTCTAATTCCAGGAGCTGCAATTGGAGAGATGCTGGGAGGTGTCATTGTTTCCAAGTTACATATGTATTGTAAAGGCTATATGAGATTTGTAATGGTTACATCTGCTATATCACTTGTACTGGTTTTATTTTCATTTTTTGTACACTGTAATTCCATACCATTTGCTGGAATCAATGAAGATTATGGTGGGTAAATAGAATTTTATATATTATATATTTACTTCCAAACTCAACAATGTATTTCATAGTCAATTAATGATTATCCAGTAACTTCTATATCTTTATCATTCTTGGAATTGTGGAACACAGAAATATAAAGCACAGTTTCATCTTTCACATTAAGGACAGAAATATAATAATGATGGCTTCTATATGATTGCTTATGCATTCACAAAGAACTGAAGAAAAAAACATATTGAAATGACTAGAAGCAGAATTCTGTACTAAAAGTGGCTAGCAACGTGGAAACAGTACTGTCTGTACAAAGCGAGTCTTACTTTGTGTTCCTGAATTGGTATGTCTGCCTTCTTAAAGACATCAAAGAATGGAACTGAAGTACATGTGAAAGTATGCATGAGTAATGTCTCCTTTAAGCTAAAAATGCAAAATTCAAAGAACTGGGCAGAGATTGACATTAGATACAGGGGAACAGACCTGGAATTGGAAACCAACAGACTGAATGAGTAAAACCAGTAAAGAAATTCCACTTCCTGCTACAATGGAGTAACTTATGGCGGATCAACACTCCCACTGAGAATAACTAGAAAAGCTGAGTAGAGCTTTAAAAGATTTATTTAAAGGCTGCTCAGATAACTAGGAATCTAAAAGCCAAAGTCCGGAGAAAGGCACATTTTTGAGAGGAGAAGCAACTTTCTGCTGCTTCTCCCTGCCCCCAACCCCTGCCATGTCGTCCAACTGAGGATATTTGCTAATTCTGTACATTGGCAAGAAACTGAGAGTCTGGACAAAAGATTTGGGAGAAAGCACTAGTAAGATGAGAAGAAACCAAGATAAATTTTTGACAGACCTATGAGAAAAATTAGAGAAGGGGGCAGGGCATAAATATCAGAGAAAGAGGTAGGCAAATGAGATAATGCTCTGTTGGGTTTTCACTCAATACACGTGCTGAATTAGGAAGCTGAGAGGCAGAAATCAAGCAGAGTCTTGTAAAAGCAGAGAAAATGTTCAGTAGTATTATGATGGCCTTTACATAAGAGGTTAATGTCCTGGGAGGTTAGAATGTACTAGGGAGAGGAACTTGGGACTTAAATTCTCAATATATTTGAAAGGCTAAGACTTAGAGTTAGGGCCTTTCTAAACCACTATTGCCTAGTCAGGAGTTAATTCTGTCATAAGTTGGGTTGATGTGATCAGCCAGCACTCTATCTAGCAGCAGAAAGAGACACCCTGCATTCAGAACAAAAGATAGTATACAGAGCTGTAAACTGGCTTAGGCAAATATTTGCATTAAAAAAATTACTAGGCAAGCCAAGGGCATGGCCAAAAAGCTATGGGACAAAACAGACAATAGAATAGATCCACAGGGGATCCAGATATTGAATAGCATGGGTTTGAACTCGTGGGTTGACTATGTTTTTCTCAATAAATACACAGCAGTCTGTGTCCCTGGGTTTCACATCTGCAGATTTCCACCCATGAATGGAAAATAGTATTTTTGACCCACATTTGGGAATCCCCATATACAACTGATCAACTTAAGTTACACATAGATTTTCAACTGCGTGTGGGTTGGAGCCCCTAACCACCCCACCCTGTGTTGTTCAAGGGTGAACTGTGTGTATGCATATTAGGTACGTACACAGTTGTGCTATATGTATCTATACTGGTCTATTTACCTATAGTGCTGCATGTTTTTGTATGGTCTGCAAACTAAAGAGTGGTTTTAATATTAGTATGGGCTGTGAAAAACAATAAAGCACTTCTAGTTTCTACTCTGACAAGCAAAGAGCATATAAATTGTTACTTCTCGCAGCAAGAAAAAAGTTGAACAAATTACAGATTAATAACTCTCCTTAGATTCTTCAGAGACTTGAGATCACAGGGGAAACTGCTGCCCCCCAAACTGGAGAGATAGATAAACAGAGGCAATTTCAGTTTACTGGGAGCAGAAGACGTCAGTGCTGACCATTAGACAGTATTTGAATATTTTTGGATGTGGAGCGTGGACTAACTGGAGAGGTAATAACTCTGGGCCATGCAGTCTTAGGAAGAAACCCTCTCCACTTTAAGGGCTCTTACATTTAGGTGCCCTGCCCAGGTTCTCACAAAAAGAAAAATCCTCCTGGGTTTTGGAACCGGGGGAGAGGGAAAATAACTATTTTGAAATATGCCCAAGAGACGTCTGTTCCATGTAACAAAACCCTGCTTTTTAGGGAAACAACAAGAGTTTCCTGTACAAAACTTTAAAACAGAGGGCAATTAGACAAGTGGATCTTTCTCTAACCTTCCTGTCTCACGTGAAGGAAAGTAAAAAAGAAAACCTAAGCAAAACTTATGAAGGCCACAGTCTAGAGACTCAGGCCCATGAAAACACCTGAGATTTAATCATAAGATTATAGAATGCTTCCTCCCTTCAATACCACTGCCATTAACATGTATTGTATAATGACAGGTAATTACAACTGAAAGAGCTACAAGACACACTCTGTTTAATAAAGAGTTTCTAAGGAAACCTAAAAACAATAGGAAAGAAAAAATGGGGAATACCACAGGAAATTGAGGCCTCTGATACCTACAATTACAACAAACTTTAATCACAGCCTAATTCCTAGACAGGTAATCAAAAAAACCTTACAAAGAAAAGGCCTATCTGCCCGATTTCTTATTACCTGATACACTCATTAGAGCCTCACAAGACATTCTAAGAGGCAAGAAAAAGCACAGCCTGAAAAGACAAAACAGGTATCAGAACCAAGTCAGATATAGCAGGTATTTTGGAATGATGAGACTGAGCACAACTATGATTAAAATGCTAAGGGCTCTAATAGAAAAAGTAAGCAGAGAAATGGAAACTCTAAGAAAAAAATCAAAGTAAATTCTAGAAAGCAAAACCACGAAATACTGTAATACGCATGAATAGTTCCTTTCTTGGGCTCATCAGCAGACAGGACAGGATTGGGAGGACTATAGTGACTTTGAAGATACATCAATAGAAACTTCTCCAGCTGAAAAAGAGAATAAAATAATTTAAAAAACTGGAACACAATATCCAGGAACTATGCAGCCATTTCAAGGGTTTAACAAATGTGTAAAGAAAACACCAGAAGAAGAAGGAAAGAAAGGAACAGAAGAAATAAGTGAATAGTGGCTGAGAATGTTCCAAAATCAATGATGAATACCAGGCCGCAAATCCTAGAAGATTAGGAAACACCAAAAAGTATAAATGTCAAAATAATCTATACCTAGGCACATCATATGTTAACTTCAGAATCAAAAAACAAAGGCAGGGTCTTGAAAGAAGACAGAAGAAATAAAAACTTGCCAATAGAGGATCAAGGATAATTTATAACAGACTTCACAGATCACGCAAGCAAGAAGAAAGTGGAATAAAATTATTAAAGGTTGAGGGGGGATTTCCCCTCAAACTTTAATCCTCAACTTAGGATGCTGTATGCAATGAAACTATTCTTCAGAAATGCAGGAGAAATAAAAATATTCTCAGGCAAACAAAAAATAAGGGAATCGTCACCAGAAAACCTGCCATGCAAGAAACATTTAAAGAAGTTCCTCAGAAAAAAAGAAAAATGATGTAAGTCAGAAATTTGGATCCACATAAAAAAATAAAGAGCAAACAAACATAGAACATTAGAGATTCATGAAGGTAAAAATACAATCTTTTGTTATTATTTTTAGTTGGTGTAATAGATAACTCTTTATTCAAAGATAACAATAACAATAAGGTGTTTAGTGATGATAGTTCATGGACAGTGAAATGAGGAACAGCCACCTGATGGAAGGGAGGGAGGAGCTGGGAATACTTCAGGGCACCTGCAGTGCCTATAAAATAGAATAGTGTTATCTGAAATAGATTTGTTACTTCTAAATGTATAATGGAAACTCTAGGGAAACCATTCAACTATTTCTTAAGTATGATTGCTGTGCTAATAGAGGAAAAAAGATGGAATCCTATAAAATACTCCATTAAAACCCAAGAAGGCAGAAAAAGAGGGAAAGATGAAAATATGAAAGAAAGCAGGAAAGGATAAAAAACAATTTGATGGCATATAATTGTGCATAATAGTGTCTTATAAACTTTTTCTTTTGTTATCAGTCTCCTCTTTCATTTAATTTCTTTTGTGAGCTTTATTTTTATTGTTGACACTATTACGGATGTCCCCGTTGGCCCTTTGCTCACTTCCACCCATCCTCCCCCCTTTTTTTCTTGGCAAGTCTAGTTAAAGATTTGTATATTTTGTCTACCATTTCAGAAAAACAGCTTTTAGTTTTATCTTTTCTATTTTGTGAAATATAAGTCGCTATTTGATTCATATTCACTCTGGTCTTTATTTCCTTTCTTCTACTAACTTCAGGCTTAGTTTGTTCTTCTTTTTCTAGTTCTTTGAGATGTAAAATTCAGTTGTTTGTCTGAGATCTTTCTTCTTAATGTAAGCACTTATTGCTATGTACTTGTCTCTTAGAATTGCTTCTGCTGCATCCCATAGGTTTTGGAACATTATTTTTCCATTTTTACTTATCTCAAGCTATTTTTTAAAAATTTTTTCTGTGACCCATTGGTTGTTCAGTAGCATGTTGTTTAATTTTCATATATTTGTGAATTTTTAATTTTTTTGTAATGAATTCCTAATTTCATACCATTGTGGTTGGAAAAGATGTTTGATATGATTCCAGTCTTAAATTTATTAAGATTTGTTTTGTGGTCCAACATAATAATCTATACTGGAGACTGTTTCATGTGTACTTGAGAAGGATATATATTTTGCTGTTGTTGGGAGAAATGTCTTATGAATGTTTCCTAAGTCCATCTAGCATAACATAGTTTAAGTTCAATAGTTTTTTTAAATAGACTTCATAAATTTTTATGGATAATTTTATTCATTGCTGAAATTGGAATACTGAATTTTTCTAATATTGTTGTATTGCTATTTATTTATCTCTTAAGGTCTGTTAATATTTGTTTTATGTCTTTAGGTACCCCTGTGTTGACTGCAT